GCGTAGGGAGAAATGGTGTTGATTGTGGTTGGGTGAAATGCTCTCGTGCGTGTGAATTCCTTCACCTTGCGCGAGTTGCATCTGTATGTGGAGCTCCACATATATGCGTGTGTATAGATAAAGATGCATATAAATAATGACTCATAATATAAGCGTGTGTACAGATAACGATACATATGAATAAGGATCCATGTACGTACGCCATGCCCACGCAACCTAACCGATTCTCGGACGAGGAATCGAAGGCAACAGCAGGGGCTTTTATGGGTGGCATGCGACTCATGTATTTTGTAGCACCATTGATGCATGCAGCCAATCCAAGGCACAAATCAAATGACGGCGAAAACCTGCATTCTTGGAAAGAGTTGAAAAGAAAACCCTACTGTGTCGGCGACTCAAATTTGCACAAAAACAAATTCAATCTAACGACGATATCAACTACAACTCCAAGCCCTCTCTAATTGTCTATCTGTGCGAATGCCTATAGTCGTATCTACTACACCTTCTGCATTGGGCACTTTGACTCCAAATAGTAATTTTTTGGATGCGTTAACCACGCTGTGAAAACAGCGAACGGAGAGGGATAAGGACAACCATTATTATGAGTGGCTATTTGCAGAGCGAAGTTTTGCGTACGAGGATACGCAAGTGTGATCAGGGTATAGTGGGCGGGGTGTTGATATGCCAACGTTGAAAGGATTGCGGACCGCTGAAATAGTTACATATCACCAAATAGATCAGATAATAAAAACACCTCCAAATATGAGACGAAGCGAGAAATTTGCAAACATTGGACTCGCTTTATAGTTTAAATCTTCTTCGTGCCTTGTGACTGGTCTCAATTTTATTCATTGGATTTTGTACCCCATTGGCAGAAATAGGCTTAAAAAGGAGAGCGACAACCCATAGAGCTGCGGACGTCCACTTCTCATATATCCTTATCCATACTCCAATTTTAAAGTTTCTCGTTGGGTAATTTTATTATTATTACGGATTTTGCCTACTATCAAGACATAATAACACACTTGTGTTCTCTACTATGCTACTTGTTTTGGAATATTTAGTACTTGACATCCATCGGGGCGGTGTAACCCGGTGGCGTAAACGTTTCATGCATCGTCATTCCTCGGATCTGTCGAGGGATAGGTAGAACGTATGTTTCATCAGCTATTTGTGGCTAACTTATTGACAGAAGGTGAAGCGTACCACACATCACAGCCATATACACCACCCTTACACACTCAAACCAACCAATGACATGCCTACACTCATATTTTCTGAAAAGGCAGCGATACAAACGTCACAAAAACAAAGAAATCACCCCACTACACTCCTCCAAACACTCGCACAACATTCAATGACCCTCAACCCTAAAAACATGCGCTTACCTTCTGTATGGGCAGTGCGTAGGTGTGGTCCACCATGCCAGAGTCATCAATCTCCGGCGACTCCTTCGCGACCGCGACCGCCGCATCGACCTGCTCCTTGGCCTGCTTGTCAATGGCTTTAATCTCCTCCTCAGTGATCATACCGGCCTCGATGATGCGGTTCTTGAGCCCCATAATGGGGTCAGATCCCTGTCGCATCTTCTTGACCTCGTCTCTGGTACGGTAACTGGTACCCGGGTCGGACATAGAGTGTCCTCCGTAACGATAGGTGACCATTTCTAGCACTAGCGGTCCCTTGCCACTGCGCGCGTACTCGGCGGCGTACTTGGTGGCCTCGCGGACGTGTAGGATATCCATACCGTTCACCTGTTTCAATGGAGTCAGCTGTATGTTGAGCATCATGTGTGGTGTACAAGTGCATACAGCACTCCTCGCTTTATGTATCCATGTTTGTGGACAAAATATAGGCACTGAAGGTATAATAAGAGATACTCATATATACACCACTCCTCGCTTTATGTATCCATGTTTGTGGATAGAACATAGGCACTGAAGGTATAATAAGAGATACTCATATATACACCACTCCTCTCTTTATGTATCCAGGTTTGCGGATAGAACATAGGCACTGAAGGTATAATAAGAGATACTCATATATACACCGCTCCTCTCTTTATGTATCTATGTTTGTGGATAGAACATAGGCACTGAAGGTAAAATAAGAGATACTCATATATACACCACTCCTCTCTTTAGGTATACATGTTTGTGGTATCGCAATTCTACACACATCCACATGCATGGATATTGTGTTTTCTCAACATACCCGAATACCGGGGATATAATCGCCACGGGCGTAGTAGTCGATAGAAGCGGATGAACGCTCCTGCGAAGTCCCCATACCGTATCTGTTATTTTCGCATATGAAAAGCGTGGGTAGATCCCACAGTTTGGCCATGTTCATTGCCTGCCAATAGAGAGAAATTAAGTAGAGAATACTGTCAGAAGCTGAAGATTATGCAACAGGTACTATCATTGATGAACATAGTTTATCTTCCTCAATAACGCGTGTTCAAATCGAGCTAAAGCAATACCATGACAGGACGCACACACACACACCTCAAACAGCTGACCCTGATTGGCAGCACCATCACCGTACATGGCGACAGACAGTCCGCCGGTGTTTTTGTACTGGTGGTAGAAGCCCAGACCCGCACCCAACGAGGTTTGCGCACCGACAATACCGTTACCACCGTAGAAGTGGTCCCAGTACATGTGCATAGAACCTCCCTTACCCTGGGAGACTCCACAGCTTCGACCTGTGAGTGGTGATGGTGTGCACTGTGAGATACTGGAAGTGTAGCGGAGACGCCAGTCTATATACAGATACGCATGCACATGATTGTGGAGTACAAAGGCAAATGTCACTAAATACTGAGCGAACAGTAACAAAAAATCAAACATAAACAAAAAAGGGCACATACAAACATTAATTAACATACGAGCAAGTGAAGCATGTTGGTTGGATATTCATTTCGTTTTAAGGTATAAACTTCTGCAATGCTTCACACGGGACTCGAAATCTTTGTTTGTAATTCGCAAGCATGAATGAATATTTGTATTTATACATATGGTAATTACACGAATAAGAGAAAAACAGGTTTGTTCGCAGAATCAGGTACTACACGTGAGTAAAATTCTTCGCTCAAAACAAACAAGCAAGTGTGTATTTTTGTAAGCACGTAGGTTTGGAAGCCATTTTGAAGAGAAGAAACGATCACACATAATATCCTATAAAGTCGCCATGCACATATATGTATACGAAATCTTGATTATACATCGCCAAATACACACACATATATATATTAAAATCGCATACTTGTGAACAACTGTAGATATATTCACACCTTGATGTATACATCCTTTGTATCTATGAATTGTTTTAGGTATACACTTAAACACAGAACACACACACACGGATGTCAATGCATCATCATACAGCCTTGCGCATGCGCTTGCCATTACGAAAAACAGACAAAATGAGACGGCAAACAAAGTCAAAATAGGAAGTAGATATGTATGACTATAACTGTACACTCTCAACCGTTTGTACCCAAATGTACGAAATTACAGTACGATAACAGACCGACACAGTTCTTAATATCTAATCCAACAGAACATATATATCTGTCGTTCATATCATTCCTTCTTGTCGGTGAAACAACACGCTCACAAATCATATACCTACGACCAGCCAACACCGTTACTTCAGCACTCTAATATACAACTTGAGGAGCTTGGTGCCATGCACATACCGCACAGTTCTCCGAGAACAGCCTCCATAGAGGCACCTAGCAACCACGTGATACCATGGCAACGGTAAGAGGTGATCCAACTATCACCCTTCTTTAAAACGCTGTGCATTCCAGTCGCTACAGCTTCCTGTGGTTGGCGGGTAATATAGTGCAGAGGCGTAAGATATTGTACATAGTTCTGCAGTACCCTCAGTGAGAGGCTATCCGAAGGCTGAGTAAGGGAGAAGTGCCGATCAGACACCAAACACTGGACGTAGGTGTATCTATAGTTCTGCTACAAAAGCAGTTTGAACTATAAACCTATAGTTCAAAAGTCTTGCTGCTGCATAGAACTCCTTAATCTATAATTCCAGTACCTGCTGCAGCATCGATCGGCTACTGGGTATAATAAAAGCTCATGACAGCACACACACCGACTACATTACACAGTCAGACAGCCAAATGGCGCTTCATAGTGTTTCATAATACAGCACATATGCTATCGAATGGCGTAGTGCCTCAGCGGTAGCCCACATACTATGTGCATGTTACCTGTGGTATACTCAGTGAATGTTACACACATACGAGCATGCAACTGACCAGCAGCCAACTGATGTTTGTTGTTGTTTATACGTGATGGCCAGCCTATCGATATGTAGATGAAATACATGCACATGCATCAATGCATGTTTGCTGTTGTCACGTACTGATGATGAGCAATACTAAAGAGAGCTCTAAACAGCCGACGCATGTAAAATATATTCTGTATTAGAAAACATATGCATATATAAACAAATATATCGAATACTACGCAAACCATACCTGTCCGGTATACAAATGGCAGAACCCGCGCACAAACTTGGTTTTGTATAAATCGCCCGCGGCGGTCTCCATCTTACGGATCTTAGTCATCTGTGTGTAGAGTTCTATGGCTTCTTCGCTGGAGATGGTGCAATCGGTTGATGGTCCCTCGTCCTCGATCTTGTGCATGTCGAATGGCTATTGCGAACAAGGGGTGCATGTCGTGGAAGGAGGTATTAGTAAGAAGGGTAGCTCCTGATGCGCATACAGTACATCTACATACATATATCACACGGGCTCGCTTAAGCTGCAATAGCACAACACTCGTACATGTTACTGCGCATTCTCATAGCTTTGACACACAGCCGAATGATCGAATACAAAGGAGAACAAAGTAACGCGTAGATTCGTGCAGCGACTTTTAACGCTGCGTGGAAATAGTATCAAACTTGGGACAATCACAATCGCCACCCTGAAGAGGAGGTGTATACTAGTCCACATATCTACGTATACTTGTCCGGGGAGATATATATACGATGATCACGGATAACAAGATGTAGTTTCACGCTAACGTGCGAGTGCCTTAACAATACATGAAAATGGCATCATTCACACCGGCGGTACAAGAATAACAACCACAAAACATCTGCACAACTTGAGTTTTATGGTTCATGTTCATCTGAAATTAGCTCCTTGATACGACTCTATATATATATACCAGTCATCCGCAGAAGATCACAGGATATCAAGAAATAGTGATTCCCCAATGCACTTCACATACATTTATTGAACACTTGCACAAGAACATTAAAATGATATACATTTACATATATATATACATTAAAAACCCTCCAAATACGAAAATATATTGGTTACATCAAACACACACACACATATATATAAATATATAGATCGATGTGTATGTGCCAACACATAAAACACGTACACAATACATCCACTTAACATAAATACTTCTACGAGTATCCGTATCTGCATCTGTATTGATAAAAACGCACATATATACATATACTCCACATATATTTGAACAACATAAATCCCCTGTTCATTATCACATGTTCTAATGTATATCCCTTATGTTTTCATACATCGTATATATAATATGTGTAAACATACTTACATATTAATTACGTATATCCGCGGTCCACACACACACATATACTGTATGTGTATATCTGCATGTATATATTAAAGGCATCAATTCGTACACACACACACACACACCTATGTATAATTATGTAGATAAACATACTAACGCACTCTCATAATATATATATATATATATATACATTCATACACACATATTTATGCATGCATACAAATATCAAATACTACATGTGCAGTTTATAGGTGCGCACGTGATCGCAGGTGTAGCGCGTACACCAAGTAAGCATGCTATCGATATATATTACATACATCCAACTTGAAAGTGTGATCGGCATTGGCCACCTTAGTGGAAGCAAAGAATCGCTTCGCCAGCGGGGCCACCGCTGGGCGCAGCTGTTGGAAATACGTATACAAAGGATTGATAAAATTAGTTTATTAAAATGTAGATGGGTACAACGTCCAGCAACAGCGTGCACTCTTTATCTAGTGAAGTGACTAAAAGAAACAAATCAGAACACGACGCGCACATTGGAAGTCGAAATATATACGATCTTTTACACGAAAGCGGTCCTAGATTAGCCAAAAAAAGGGTAGTTCATGACTAGTTCAGCATTCGACACTAGTACCAAACGTGCTCTCTATCCAGTATGATCGGTACATTCAATATCAGTGCACAGGCAGCTATAGCATTCAAACTCCATCAGCCATGAAAAAAAACTTCACGGTACCTGTACGAGTTGCCTTGTGCTCAGCATTGTCAATCGTAAGTGTAAGGCGCTACCTGAGTCTACAGACTATGAAATACGATGAGCTTCTAATTACTGTGTATACACAGCCGTGTGCTGATCTACCTATATATCAAATTAGCCCACCCGACTCCCGAGTCTCGAATATCAATTAATTACACAATTTACTCCGATGGCTAAATAAGGAATCTGGACTTACAGTAAGACAGTACCGAACATGCTCGACACTCGATGGTTTCATTTTTATACAAAAAAACAACAACAACTTTTTTTACATAAAAAAACCCCCCAAATATCAAAGTTTCCATCACCAGAAAAACCTAGTGAATGCGTACGAAAAACTAGATTACAAATCTTGTTCCTTGAAGAGATAATAACGAAATTTGATTGGATTCCAATATAATTTGATGACACTTTTAAAAAGTGCCAATTTAGGAGAAATCACTATAATCAGCTGGAAATCTATCACACCATTAAATGCCTATTGTATTTGCTTTTCCTCTCTGTTGGAGAGTAGAGAGCAGGCCACAGCATACTGATGCAAATTACAAGGCTTCAGGCCTACATCCCGTTGATGCAAGGCACAGTCAAATGATGCAAGATTATGTATGTATAGCTGTGTATATGTCCAAATAGTACCACTTGAAGTCATATAGACTCTCAAGATACGCACTACTTGTACAACATTTTATTGTAGGCTGACTCAATACTAAACAGCAATTATACCTATTCCCCCACGCAAATAAACCTACACTGCTGTATAGATAGTTGATGGGCGAATATCTTTCTATTTGTAATAGCAGTTCCTGCAGATTTAGAGGAAGTATTGCTGTAATTTAAATTTTGATCGTTTACTTACTACCCCCTTCCCATCCTGTCCCTTGTAAGAGTTCTATCAGATAAGATCAATAGAAGGACAGGAGAATACAACGGCTAGTAGAGCGATTAGAAGTAGATATTGCAGCAGCTAGGAGGCGGACTCCCAGTTCAAGAGGTTGCTAGCTACGGATTCACCCAGCAAAGGGCCTACAGGAAATAGCTATTTTCAACGTCAGCGACTTATCGTAGTTCGTAAATTCAAGCTCAATGTTGACATACAATCCCGATCATTCCACCAAAATGCACCTCACGTACTTTGCTCACCGTGGCCGAGGTGATGTATATGAGTTACTGTGCACAGTGGGTCGTCAACCTGTCGATCTGATAGTCACACGTGTTAACTGGAACCATTTTCTTACCATGCGTGAAAGCGGGCTACATGGGTTCCGATTGCCCTATCAGCAGTTACCGGTCTTGCTGATCACCAACACGGCTGGGAAAGACCGGATTGTAGCGCAGACTAACAGTATCATAACGTATACAGCGAAGATTGTAGGAGAGTATCCGAGCGACGAAATACACGCCGCAGTAGCTGAAAGTGTTATCAATCGCTTAAGCGACCTCTCGTCTATAGGCTGGTATCAGTGCAAGACAGACAAGGAGCGTGCCCAATTCCTATCCACCCTAGTGAGCACGCGCTTGCCCCCTATTTTGACAGATCTCGAGAGTATGATCGCAACCAACACAAGTGATAGCCAGGAAGCTACTCTTAATCTCGATTCCATTTGGATTGTAGGCGAGACTAGGACGTTTGCAGACCTGGCTATATTTGCTGCATTGCACGAGCTGTGGTCTATGGGTGCCGCTATCACGAGCTGTGGTCTATAGGTTACGCTATGCCACCCATACCGCCACATGTGCAAAAGCTGTATGACGTGGTGGCCAGCGATCCACGTGTACTGAAGTTTGTGGCGGAAAAATGGCAGTCTTGCCGATTCTCTTGAGCAAATAGACAGTCACTTACCATTCTGCATACATACACATACACAGTCACTTACCCCTACATGCGTGTCGGAGTATCGATTATAGTATCGACACACTTCCACAAGTGCACTCACACGCACGGAAACAAAAACTTTAGTTTGAATCACACATACATGCGGACACGCACCATACAACTCTGCGCGTTCAATATTTCAAGGGTGGTCCGCCTGGGTGTAGGTTACAACACATCGGGGTCTCAGCGACGTTGATTACCTTTAAATTTAGAAACAAAAGGTTTTATACTAAATTATAGGGACTATTCTTAGAATTCATGTAGAACCCTTTGGACGAAAGGTCGCTATCTATAAGTTGCAGGGAACATCAACTGGTTGTATAGCGAACCGGTGTGAGGCGGACGTGAGCGTCTTATGTATCGGAATTGGCCTTATCATTTCCTAAATCAAACAGCTATCACTTTCTTCGTGAATTCTTGCAATTTGAGTCGACCCTTAGTCCCGCTTCACAGAGCCGCTACAAATGCCGTGCTCCTTATTAAGACACGTGCTTTACCCAACACATCTGTAAATTGCTGCAACACGGAGCCAGCAGTATAGCACCACACTATACAAACAACAGACATACTAATACAGATAAAAGCTCATCGACAAACCAATTACCATCAGGTATTAAGCGGTGTGAAACAGTCAAGATACTTCATACTTTTTTTTTATACAATGCTCGTTGAGCATATATTTTTTTGTCGCGTGTGTTGGTGTTCTTGGATAGCTTTGCAATCCATGCTTAGCTTATGAATATTCAGCTCAGATGCCCGGTACCTATACAAACAATGCTCATAGCATGTTCTATAGTATACATCGTGTGTGGCCAGGTGTTGTGTAAATACATTACTGCAGCAATACGATTTTTTGTCTGTCCACATGCACATAGCTTTGTAGTAACCATGTCTTAAGTCACCATGTGCCATGCAAATAACACCGCTCAGATCACCGATGCAGTGCTTCAACCACCGTATGCACCACCTCAGACCCATCGTACAGCGCCATGCAACCCACACACGCGCACAAACACTCTACAGAGTGGTCAAGCTCGCTTGTCGCGAGGCTGTTCAGGCATTATCGGCTGCTTTCTGGGCTGCGACCTCGGCCTGTCTCTCCTTCCACCTAGCCAGGTTCTCGCTTAACAGCGCCAGAGTGAGCTGTGTGGCGTCGCACGGTACTAGATTGGCCAGAGCTTGAAATAACGGCTGCACGCAGAAGCCTATGAACCCTGCTTGCACTGTCGGTATACTGTGATAGAGACGGAAGAATGGGTATATATATAAATAAGGAAAACCAGAGAGGAAAAAAAAAAAGGAATATCAAGTATGGGAGCCCCGCTTGCACTATCGGTATACGGTGATAGAGAAGGATATATGGGTTGCATGCAAAGCCAATCAGTAGATGAAAATACCAAGGATAGCAGACGTGCGAGAATCCTGCTTGCACTGTCGGTACGCTACGATAGAGAAAGATATACTTTTATATCGGGCCAAACTAGCAAACAGAAACACCAGGGGATAGCAGAAGCATGATACCCCTGCTTACACGGTGCATAACTTCTTATCATATAAAGTGCAAAATCTTCTCCTGCTCGCCGTGGCTCAAGAACTCGGTAGAGCCATCGCCACCCACATTTTCACTGATACACTTAGTACTGAGTTACGCCTATATGAACTTCTACACAACGCACAGATATACAAAACGTCCAACTATACCCACACACGTCTGTATGTACATGTATAGTATGTCATCATACATATTGCCTACCTGGTGGTCTCCCTGTCAAAACCCTTGCTGACTTCGATTTGCAGGCCCTTCTCCTGGTCGCCTTGGTTGAAGAACTCGGTCATAACCATCGCCGCCCACGTCTCCATACACCGTTGGGGTCGTGCAGAATTGTTTATATCCGCGCACTTCATCACCAGTTGCAGGATGAGTGTTCGCGTTTCTATGGAAACCATACGTTATGTTCTCAGTAATATTTCAAAAAGGCTTCAGTGGTGGTCGTGGTTGATGCAAAGTCACGTGACAACAGGCGGTTGTTCGAGTTAAATTCTTATAGGCCATGCCGCTAATCGAAACATATAAACGGTGCTCAGCGGTACTAACCTGTGCAGCCGTTAACTGTACAGGGTAGCAACTTGCTACATTGTTATTCTCGGCTATATGTTCATATAGCAATGCACTAAAAAACCATACAACGCAATGGGGTGTGGTGCAATACGCCATGAACACGGTGAAATGGCGAGTATCATGACACCAAAACTACAACCTACTACATTCATGTATTGCGGATAGAGCCGGCCTTTATACTAATATTCAGATTGCTCGTTCGCATAGCACCAAACTCACCACTATTTGACCAGTCAACCCCATTTGTGTGCAGACCATTGAACTTCTCCATGAACTCGCCGTGCCGCGCCATATCTGTCGCCAGAACCAATTCTTTCACTAGCGAGCAGACGTGTTCCCTGTAATGCGAGGAAGAGACGTCAATAAGGATGTTGTTTTTATAAGGGAAGAAAACGAATTAACACATATCTTGTATTTATGGAAGAAATACACGCTTAAAGACGACTATACATCGGATATATACAAATACACATGATGCTCTATTGTATATATGCAGATATACGCACACTTATAGACGACCACATATCGGAAAAATACAAATACACATAATGCTATATTGTATATATACAGATACACACACATATATAGACGGCCACACATCGGCGACATACAAATACACATGATGCTATACTGTGTATATACAGATACATACAAACACACACGATACGAACTGTACATGTACAGTATAAATACAAATACACACATGCATATAGACGACCATATATCAGATACATACAAACACACACGATACGAACTGTACATGTACAGTATAAATGCAGATGTACACACTTTTATACGACCATGCATCGTATACATATAGATACATGTGCACTTATAAGCACTGTTATAAACCACCAGAGGGTACTTTGTACAGATATGAAAGGCCTTATTACGATAAACAAAAGTATCAGGTTTCTCGTCACGGGAAATCGACAATAAAATAAACTTGTTCATATCAACGAAGATCGCTTTATTACAAACCAGAGCAAACAGTCACACATTGCGGCAGAAAACATTTCATATTAACCCGATGTGTATGAATAAACAATTTTGGTACACATATGTTCATAATTAGACCAGCTGCCCCATCCAAACATCCAAGTATGAAATATACTGTAAAACAATGACAAACAGACCGAATGTACAACGTTTTCTACCCGAATTCGCTATCACACAGAACTCAAACTGATACTGACATATACAACATTTGGCATACCGATCTTCGGGGGTCATCTGTTTTAGCAAGTCGCACCTAAAGAGCACATCCAGCCCTGCCGTTAGATGATGTCTCTCTAATGTTCCAGACGACCCGTGTATGAGATTGATTAGGTCATTCGATCTGTAGTAGGGTGTATAGCAAAACATCTAGAAAGATTAGAAATACGTTAGATTATTAGTATGATTCTGGTTAAAATATCTCTTGTAGTAATATTAAATGTGCCAGGAGCCTGAATACTAATACAGTGTGGCAGAAAATTGAAGTGGTGGAGAGTATAGCAAAACATCCAGAAATATTAGAAATATGTTGAGATGATAGCGTAATTCTGGTTGAAATACTCTTTGTAGTTATATTGTATATGCCAGGAAATGTATATTAACACATTCCAATGAGGTAGAGGATTCAAACACTATATATTTAGAACGATGAAGAATAAGTATCTCCAATAAGACATCAAAGCTAACTGGTGAAATATCTGTTAATTTGTATCGCTAGTCTCAATCGATCAGCTATATTGCCAATCGCGATCACCCCCTAGTGAGATGATAAAGGAACGCATGCTTGATGAAAGTCATGAGTAATACAAGAAGAGTTTGGCTTATCAAGCGAGTTTTCACGCCACCAGGACTCAGGCACTATCAATTTTGCAACAATAGGAAGAAACAAACAACGGATGTGACAGCCTACTATCCGGGCGCACACACAACAAACACAGGTGCTATTTCCACCGCTTCCGGCCTGAACAGTACAAAACAGGACCAGCCCAAATTGGAGGCGATTTCACAAACTCCAAACGCAAGGATACAGCTATAAGAAGAACATTGTCACAGGCTGCTGATGCGGGGCCATTTCGTGCTGACTCCAGTACAATCGGGGTTTGGGGGTGAATCATACTTTACAAGATATACATACTTTTCCAAAAACGCGTTATTGAGTCCTGGGTGGTCCACATCGTGTATCACTGCGGCAATCACAGCCGTGAACTTCTCAACGTCGGTGAGTCTGTCCCTTAATCCAGGACTGTTTATAAAGTAGTATACTGCCTGGGTCACATCGGCAGCGTGTACAGCATTGTGGAACGGGTTATCGGCCCGATATCCATGTGCTAGCACCTTGAGAAACGTCCGTAACGTGATAACATCGATGTGGAATTTGGCCATCCATCCCATTTTCTCGAAGATCGCATAGCCCAATTCTTCGAGCACACGTCCCTGCTAGGTCGGTTGTGAGTGAAGGGCAGTATGATTTTCATAAAACGCCTTGGTGATTTACGACGGCAAGCGGTAATAAAACAAAATCAGGATTCCGAGATTGATCACCATTTTTCTATTCAAAGACTTACCTCTCCACGCGTACTGATATTCACCAATGTGCGTGCAAATAGCAAACACAATATCTGAACGAACCCGATACGCTCTTACACAAGTGTGTGTTTACGAGCAGGGCAGGTAATTAACTCACAATATCAACAATCGGATGCTCCGTCCAAGGTGACCATGAAGTACACACTAGAGCTACGTCCCATGCACATACCTTTGTTAATTCTTGTAACTGAAAAACGTCGAAATCCCACTCATCCATACGCGACAGTAGACCTTTTATTTTTATTTCGTCTTCCTGGTCACTGACCGCCGTAGAATTAATGACTCGGCCTGGCACGAAAAAGAAAAAAGGTGAGCGAACAACAAAGTAGGAAACTATCCATGAGCATCCTTTGAACTCGCAAGAAGATTATGGTACCGGAAAATATAATTAGGATATTTCTATGAAAATCTAAAATCGAAATATGAATATCAAATTTCATATATAAATAAGCCTATTTCTAATGTCCGTTCATGCCTGCGTACTCACGCTAAATTAGACTAGATCATGCCAGCTGAAATACACATGCATATTTATGCATAAACACACACGCCCACGTATATATACATACACACATACATATTCATACATACAAGTATACGCACACACACACACACATATATATATATACAAATATACACACAAACACACACACATACACACACACACATATATATATATATATATTTATATATTTGTGTGTGTGTGTGTGTGTGTATGTATATATATATGGTAG